CACCCGGGGCACGGCCGACGAGAGGCAGGAGCACACGTGCACACGCGAAAAGCACCCGAGGAGCCAATGGCCTCTTTGCTCCTTTCCTAGAATAGTATTTAAAAATCGATAAGCGATTTCAGTGATGGGAATTCCAGGGACGCGCGAGGACACGCAGCAACGAGGAAAAGGGCCGCGTAGCGTTTCAGGCTCGGACGAGCGGACGAGCGGACGAGCGGAAAAGCGCAAGTGCGATTACGTAATCATCGTGACGTTTCAGGGTGGTCCCAAGGGATGCGGAAGGAGGAGCTACACGTGGCGATGATACTACGACCCGATAAGGACATTCTCGTTAAGGCGATATCGATCGGCCGTTTTATCAGCCAGCTGATTGCGACGCACTCGAGCAAATGACGATTCCCCTCGCTGTACGAACCAACCGTCCCATCCCTCGTGGGCGAATGCGCGCGCATGCCCTGAATTTGGTCCCTTCATAAGGATTGGTTATCTTTGCCAGTCTGGTAATTATTTGTCCCTGGCAGCGAGTACCCGTAGGATCGCGGAATCCGAATTCCAAAGAGTTCGCGTCGATCAGCCACGGGAAGCTGCTTGATTGCGAATCGGCAGGTTTTGGGCCGTGACTCGCGTGACGATGAGAAAAGGTTCGGGGACGGACCTGTTAACGATAATTAGTCGGGTTATAAATACGCGGATCAGTGCATTATGGAAGTACAGCGGCGACTGCAAATGCCGCGGTGCTCCGGTGACTCTGATTGGGTACGATTAAGAGTTTGCCGTAATTATGCTATCCCGTCGTGCACGGCTCGACATTCCGCACTTGTGACGTCGACGAGGTCGAGCAACTTTTTTCTTCGCTTTCTGCCTCCAGTCGCTTCCGGGTTTCAGTAACTTTAGATTCGCTCCGAGCTCCTCTCTGAAATTCGAACGGCAGATCGATCCTTCGTTGTTGCATATTCGTCGATTTGGCTAAAGCGACGTCCCATATAAACCAGCCCTAATACACGTTCAGCGAGCGCCCTAGTTTACGGGCAATACAAGGCTGTGCTCTGACACTTCCCGAGTGCTTTTCTTTGGCTTCACCCTCGGCGGGATGAAGTGCTCTCCCCGAAATGAAAGGCGCGTTCTCATTTTATTCCCTTTGCTCTCGGGGTCCCTCGGACGAGAAACCTTTTCTCCTTGGTTCCGTCGGCTCCGGGAGGAAAGTGTAACGCAGTAAGAGTGTCGAGTGTCGAGTGGGTATCGGCGCGATCGGGAGAGCCGACTTGAGAGAGAGAGGAAGGATAGAGGAGAGGAAGTGGAGGAAGAGGAGGAGGCGGGTGGAGGGGTGGGGCTGCCGTTTTCATTAGCCGCGTGCAAATCGAATTCGGAACTTCGAGAGCGGGTATTTCTCTCGGGAGAAACAGGGAGGAGAGACTGAGGCGGAGAGAGAGTAAATGAATTACCGACCGAGTGAGAAGCAACGAGAAAGGATTAGAGAAGCGCGATAGCACCGAGGATCATCCAGAAGAGGAGGAATAAAAAGAGGAGACTATTTCCTGTGTTTGTCCGAGACTCTACTGGGTTCGCGTGTACGATTCTTTCTTTTACGCAATTCTTCGTACCTTAATACGGGGTTATTCAGCCGAGAAGAAGCGCCGGTCAAAAGTGAGGGCTCGCGAAGATCACGATTGACTTTCAATCCCTGTAAAGATTGGCAGCTGGTAGCAGATTAAAGAGGTCGTGTCACGGCTATTAGACTGGAGCGCCATACTTCATCCAAGTAAGCCTCGATATTTCGCCGAGATTCGTAACGGGTCGGCAATGAAGCTGCGTCTTTACTCCCGTCTAATTGTCCTTAACTGCTTCCACGTCAAAGCGCGCAATAAAATGCTAACTGCCCTCTTTGCGCCTCTTTGCGCCTCCTTGCGCCTCTCGTAACCCGCTAAACGATCATTCTCGGGAGTCCATTCGATTCCAGTCTGGCGCCGCGCGGAAGATACCGGAGATGCACGATAGCCCGTAGTCTACAGTCTAGGAAGAGCGTTGAGTAATTCTTACCTGGAAGAGATTGTAGCCTTTGTCGTACATCCACATCTCGTCTGCGGGATGCTCCTTGGGACTCTCGCGTTGGCTGGCATTGAGAATCTGAGGTGGAGGCCCTCTGGTCAGTTGGATGGCCAGACACCTCTGCAGGAGCAAGAGACACCGGGAGGGCCCGGTGCCTCCTGGGCCCGAGCCATCCCCTAAAATTGAGGCCATCTTGTCAGGCCCTCAACTAGCCGGACCAATTATCGGCCGGTGGCATCCTGGGACCTGGGCACAAAAACAATCATAGACAATATTAAAGAATCTGTCGTCACGAGATTTCCATCTAGTTTTTATTTTCCATGAGAAAACATTGATCCTGTCATGTAGTTTCCCTCTGTACTTTCCTAGCGCCGTAAGATGAGCTCATATTTCGCTTTATTGTATCAACACCTACTAGGGTCACGTCGCTGAGCTTGCACGAACTAGGATCTAATTGATTTACTCCCCATCTAAGGGACGAGGGTGGAAAGCCCTGGTCCGACCCCCCTGGTGCGACTCAGGCTGCTACGGTAATGGATTTTTCTCGAGGACAAGAGACTCGACCTGACGTGCCAAAAGTGGACGGCAATTGGCTGCTGGATCGAGAGACTCGCAGGGTTTCACCTTGCGCCAGATCGCGAACAGGAAGTCGACCGGTCGCGCGGTGCACGGAAAAGTGACTTCCTGTCGCGTGACTCATTGCTCTCCGAGCTGATGCTCTGTCTACTCGATACTCGGTCTGCTATTGTCACGTCGAAGCGACCCTGACCCTCGGGCCAGGAGACCTCGATCATGGAAACGGGTCGGGACAGATTGGGCTGCTCAGCCTGGTTCTGTTGTCATCAGGGAGACTTTGCTGATTTAACGAGAGATTCCCTTGGACGAGGGTGACCCTGATGAATCCGGAGGCGCTGATTGCTGGAGAGAGGGTGGGGACTGGGAGGCAGCCTGGTAAGATGAAGATCGGAGGCTCCTGGAAATGGTCTCCGCACTCTTGTGTCTAGACGAGAGAGAAATCCCACTGGAGGGTAACTCCGTCGTTTAGGTAAAGCCTTCTAACGCGATTTTCATCTCCAGCCGTTCGGCACTTCTGGACTCTGCACAAAGCCCCAGAAGACGGACGTCCCGATAAGTCTACGTCTCGAATCCACGAAGAAAACTCTGAGCGCCGTGTTTTCTTCCCTTTTCGCAAAGCCAATTCGGCTATTTAAATGCATCGAAAGACCCACTCCCCGCCTTCCGAATAAATTATTTGCCCAGAGACCACGTTGATCCAAGACTCCTGGAAATGGTCCTGGAGCCTTCCAGTTTCCTCGGTAGAAAGTCCTTTGGCATTATACAGTGACCGCTGGCTGCGCAGAGACAGCCGAGACTCAAAGTCTCGCCTAGTGTGGCGAATCAATTCCGCGAGTGTCGCGCGGCCGTTTCCGTCCGGTTTCCATGTTCCAGCAAAAGGAAGCAATTGGATTTATTAAGGATCTACGCTCGAGAGTAGCCTAATGGTCTCCAGGTAGATATTCCGAAGACGGAAAGCGCGATCTAGAAGCGACACAATAGGAATAATTTCAACGAGTGGCACGGACGTAAATGGCGGCGGCGGCGACGGCGGCGTCGTTCAGGGGACCCCATAAGATAAGAGCAGGCGGCGTACGTGAGCCGTGAGAAAAAGTAGGCCGCCGCGACGGCGTATCCACGTCGTCATAAAGAGGGCCGTATCTTGGAAAAGGCAAACGATCGTCGATCGTCGATCCCCGATCCACGATCACGATCGATATCGCAAGTCGAGACTTGGAAGGTTGATCGCAGCCTCCGTGCTCTCCTCTCTCTCTCTCTCTCTCTCTCTCTCTCTCTCTCTCTCTCTCTCGCCTTACGTACCCACATGAACCCATAAAGCGATAGCGTCGCTCTCTTCCAGCCAGTCGAATTCATAGCCGTAATTAGGCTCATAGGTGTGTGGAAAAGTACATAGGAAGTGACGCGGTGGAGAATCAAAGGAATTCGCAAGAGAATGGCAAGGAGAGGAAGAGAGAGAAGGAGAGGACGAGAGTCAATGGAAAGAGGAAGACGGCAGATGCCGTGTACGTAAGTAGTACATAACGAAACGGCGCGTGAGTCAATTGGCGGTGAGGTAACCGCGCACTCGTCTCTCCTCCTTTTTATTTCCATCCAACGCGGCAGCGGCGGCAAATGGCGTCTAATCGAAAGAAGGATGCGTACCAGGCCGACGGCCACGTCAATTAACTTGTCAAGGATGGTTCGAAGTGGCCCCGGGGCTACTCTTTACTCTTACCGAGATCCAAGTGGTCCCTGCCGAAAAAAAAAGAAAAAAAGAAAAAAAAAAAAAGTGGAAAAGCCACAAGAGCTAAACGCACTTTACGAATATTCAGATCAGCCAGCCAGCGGCAAGTCTCCCATGCACTCCGATGCAGCCTCCTGTGCTGGAGCACATGGATAACGGATCGCACCGAGTTCCACCCATAGCGCATCCAGTGCTTCGTCCACGGAGTTAGGACGAAGGTTGCCCGGAGCAACTTACTTGCAATCGGCGACCACCCGCGATTTCCCATTCGGTATATGGGCTATGGAAATACACCGTAACATTATTCTCGCTCAAAGTACCATTATGATTACGCACGATATCCCGTGGGTGCAGCTCCTTTCAGGATTTTCTCCTTTACCGCTTCGACGCACTTGGCGGAACTGCACTGACCTACGGGAAACCTTCCCAGCTGAGAACGACCTCGAGATCCCCGAGGAAGGCTGGACGCGCGTCGAAGAGTTCACGAATCGCAGTAACGATGCCGAATGCGTAAACGGCGCAAACGTCAGAAACAGGGTGAATAGCAAATACCACGTGGGATAAACGCCGTGACATTAGCCGAGTACAAATTGTCCAAGGAGCATTATACAAATTGCATCGTGAATCGAACGTGGCAGGAGAATCGACGAGCGAACGTGCAGCGAGGACCAATCGCAGTTCCCGGCGCATTTAAGTGTCACGGGAGAAAAGTGGCTGAGAGGCGTCAAGAGGGTTTTCTCCGAATTTTCCAGAGACGCCCAAGGAGGGCGTTCGCGGAGGGAGGCTGGACGCAGTTTGAGAATAATTTGAGGGAGCTGCCAGAGGATCGATGAGGTCACAGTCGAGGGTGCGCGGTTACGTAATGGAAATGGTCGAACAGGACTGTTAAGGTTGCCGAGGTCGCCCGTTGCCCCCAGCGCGACCTGACACGCCTCTCCCGCTGGGGACTTCCTGCCCGGGATAGAAAAGCTGCATTGGAGATCGAGAAACCGTAATCCCAGAATAATTGCACCTCTCGTCATCCGCGTCCGGAGGCTGGAGACTCGATGGCGCGCGCGTCATTACGATTTCGTAGGTAGCTGGCAGCCTGGCAAGCGCCAGGCTGCCAGCCAGGCTGAGCTTGCGGGTTTCTATATGGCGAATAAAGACCGGTTAGGCTAATTACAAGAGCCCGGATCATTGCCCGTCGCACCAGCCGCGCGGAAGTCTGTCTTTTCTTTTCACTTTCCTCGCGATTATTTCTCCGTTGCAGCAGGATACGGCTACCGCCCACGCGCGAGTCCTTTACAGCCGGCAGACAAATCTTCTCGAAAGTTCTCTTTCCCGTAGTTATCAGCTCACTATAGAGAGTTTCGGTTTCTCCAGTGCGTCTCCTCAGGTATGACAAACGTTGCACATTCAGTCCTCAAATTCTCCCGTTTGTCAAACCCCTGAGCCCAAGCTATTCTCACGGAATGACCGTGAGAACTGGGAAACGCGTGTAAATCCGCATTTCCTTTCGATTTCGAGACCAATTTCAATTTCTAACCCACGGCCATTCCTCCGGAAGCTTTTTCCCCGTGTCTTTAGTCGCTCGCGTTTCTTCAGGGTCCTAGATAGAGACACGCGCAGCCAGAGCACAAACCGTGCAGCGCAGCGCCGGTAAGCAAACAGGCAAACAGGCAAACAGGCGAGCCGGCTGAGGTCTCTAGCGGAGGTGCACACGCTAGAACGAACAAAAACGAGACGATTTCCCTGGCTCGACAGCACTTAAAGCCCATCGCGTGCGATTAGCTTATTCGTCGCGAGGAGAGTCTTGCGATTTCTATTTACTGACTCTGACGAAGATTATTTTCAGCCACCTCGACGTCGCAGCCTCTCCACATCTTCGAATCTCAAAATCTGCAGCACCTCGATCACGGGATCTCGCGGATGCACCTTCATGACCAAAGGCCACTCGAGTTACAAAGACGTGAACAAAGTGCCTCCTTCCCAATCTCGATCCTGCCGCAAATCTCATCTCGCGATAGGAATACATGAATTACGTCGAGAGAGATTCACGCCAGCGGGTCAAGATGATCCTTGCGATTCTGCCTGACCCATGGAGGTCGCAGGTGTGGTTGGGTGCAGGACGCAAGAAAATACGCCTCTCGATAAATTAGCAAAGACTCTGACGAGAGTCTACTCAACCTGGACCTGGACTTGGTCACTGATGTCTCCTGCCGTCATCCGCCTACCCACTAGTTCATCTCGTGGGAGCCATCTTCCCCGATGGGATCACGATGCACGGAGGAAGCCGAGAGTCGGCACGTGACGAGTCACGAGTCCAGGACGCCTTCATCGTGTCCATAAAGTTTCGACGATTGCTCTTGGAACATTGCCGAGAAGTTCTCTTGCTTCCTGGATCAATAGATACATCTGTGTAGGCAGCTAGCATATAGTAGCCAAGTAGCAGGAGCAGCGGGGCGTCCGGGCGTCCGGGCGATACGTGAGAAGGATATTCGGTAGGGACGACACAGTGTGGAGACCGTTACACTTTCGAGTCCACACGCGATCGAGCTGCCTATCGATTATCGATATCTCCGTTCGAGGTATCTCTGGAGCGGCATCGAATCGGAACCAGCTCGCTGGGATATTTCGATCGCGATTATCGAACCTGGTCGATAATTTCTTCCTGGATTGGGACCGGGGAAAGCCGGGGTCCTCCGTCTCTCGACTCGATTCTTGGGGCTTCGGAGCATCGAGTTGCAGCTCCCATTGCCGCGTTACAGTCTCTTTAACTCTTTAACGCCTGTTAAGCGGGCGAACGGCTCTAATTGAATGGCTCGTCTGTTTACGAGCGGCTGATTTCGCTGAAAGACTTTTTACCTCGGGTGACTCTCTGCTACGCTTGCATTAGAAACGGACAAACGAGCCCGAGTGCGTCTCTTGATAGCTGCCACCTACGTGTGCACATGTAGGTACCTGA